TCTGACTTACCAAGAAAACAAGGGCAAAGAAAGGGAATTTTCCACCTCTCCTAGGTGGCTCCTGCTGAGCATCCTCCTCTGTCTTCACAGCTCCTTAGGAGACAATCTATTCCTAACCACTGTTGTCCTTAACTGTAGCACACTTACATATCTCATGTACAGCATTTAAATACATTGTACAGTTTAATCTATTTTTTTTATTGTGTATATAAAAGCTCGTCTTTACGAGACGTGGTGCTAACAGATAAGAGATGGCAAGGTGAACCTCTACATGTAATTTTCCTTCCTGGAAACTTGGAGCAGATGACAAGTACTGTCTGTTCCTTGCATTCCTCACCAGGACGAACACCCATCCTCCCTTCAGTATGCTCTCCATGCTGGGAGCCTACAGATGAAGTCACCTCCCTAAGAATCATCCTGAGGTAATACTCTTTGACATACTGAGAACTATATTGTTCATCTTAATTTGCTTTCTAAATTACCTTTCTTTAATCAAGAGGCTCCTCTCGGTGCCTTACATTGTCTCTTAAGTCTGATTCACTGAAGGTATTATTTGCTCCAGTTTTAATGGAATCGCTCTCTTAATCCTCTTGTTTAGTAATTAAATATAAAATTGTATTGGACCTACCTTATTTTTGGTGGGCAGTTTCCCATCCTTCCACTGGATCTCTGCACCTTGGGTAGCCAATTTTGGTGCGGTTTCCTTTCTGGCTAGATTGTTTTCTATACTGTCTGCGTTACAGAATGAAACTCAGTGACCAAAGCAGCTCTCACACTGTAAAACATATGCAGGACCTAGATGTTGTTCACCTACAAAAAAAACCCCACCCCAAAGCCTCCACTGCATGAAAACCTTATGAGTGGGGGTGGGAGAGGAAGAAGGGTGGAATGGGTGAGTGATGTGGTTTCCTGGGACACTGGCATGTGTGCTGGTGCTGATGACCTTAATGAAGTGATTAGGGGGCTGCAGCATGGACTCCCTCTAGGTTCCCTTGACCAAAAATAGTAACTTAGGGTGCTTTTGGCAAGAGGAAACCACATGCCTGGCCATCTCCCTCTTCTGAGAAATGGTGTGACGCATTGAATGGTAAAAACCAAACACTTCAAACCCCAATGAAGCACAGCCTTTCCTACTGAAGCTTTCCAGTGCAGTCTTTTTTTGCTTCTTCCTCTCCTTTTTGTCTTTTTTTTTTTTAATTATTATCATTTTTATCCCTTTCTCTTCCTACTCAGCTACAAGGAAGAAATAAAATAGAAGAACCAGAAATACTATTTGCAGGGTCGGTGGTCTGGGGAATGAGCAAGTTTTTGTTCACACATTCTAATTGTGGTACATTGCTGGAAAAGAAAAACAAATCTCTGTAAGACTTTAGGTGTCTGCAACAATTTCATCAAAACTCAGAGGTAAGAAGGGTTGGGCACTTAACAGGACAGTTTGACAGCATGTGCTGTCCCCTGGGAACATGTCGTTTTGCAGATAGATGTATACCACCACAAGCTAGGTCTCAGCTTATTAGCCACCTCCTTTTCTTCTCTTTTGCACTTTACTAGGCAGTCCCACACTGGATTTCAGCAGCAGCAGCTGTAACTTTTAGCTGACAGCAGTGTGTTAGCAGAGGGAGGAAGTCCAGTTTGGGGAGAGATCACAGATCAAATACCTCCAATCCAAACATGACATGATAAACAGCTGTGTCTGTGGATAAACTACCCTTGTGTTCTCTGATCTAAAACTTGTGCACAAACATGACAACTTGTCTGTAACTCAGCCCAGATGAGCACCACTCAGTCCTGCAGCATCCCTTGGCTGTGGATTACAGGTCCTGCTGCAGCTCCCCCTGGTGCAGTGACATAGGCTGGAGCATATGTTGGTAGATGCAGATACTGTCTTTACCCCAGTACTGCAGCTCTCCAAACTCAGTGATGTGGAGGGATTTGCCGTATGCAGGCATTACCTACAAACACGTTATAAAGTTCCAGGCCTGTTCATTTGCATTTGACCAGCTGCTTCCCAGCAGCAGTACCTACTACTAGTACTGGGGAACCACCCTCCAAAAGTCAGTGCAAATCAGGAGTGGATGAAACCATCCCCACCTGTTTTGTTCTCTTTACAGGCAATGCCTTGAGAGGTGGCACTGAATTCTGCTGATGAGGTAGGTAGCTGCCCAGTTGTTAACCTGGGTTTGGGTGGTTAAAAAAACAAGTGGTTTAGATTGATGGTTGACAAAACAATGTTTTAGACTCCAATTGTGCCCGAGTGGTTCCCATTGGGAACATTTTCTGGAAGTTCATCCGTATGAGTCACTCCATTAGTCATTTGGGCTGTGGGGAAAAGTTGGCATTTCATGACTGTGCAATTAATTCTTGTATGTCCTTTTTTGATTTACTGGGAACTAGAGAGAACATCCTGGTGAAGCAGAAATGAAGAAATGAATGTGAACCACCGGGTTTTTCAAGAGTAGCTGCAGAACAATCTTCTGCCTGATTTATTCCCAAGCTTTCACTGACTTTAAAATGTGACTGAAGCTCAGGCATGGTGTGCAGTTCTCAGAAATGAAGATGCTGTGCAACTGAAGCAGAGGAGCATGAGATTTGACTGACAAGGAAGGAAGAGGTCTGTAATCCACCAAAAGTCTATGTAAAGATGAACAGAGCAGGAACTGTCTGAATATATGCACTTAAAGATACACTCACAAAATTTAAATAAGTGGTGGGGTTAATGAGTGGATCTCATATTTCTGCCTGCCTTGTGTTTAAAGTAATTAATCAAGAGCTGATGTTGCCCGGTCCCTGGAGAAAGGGAAGGGATCAGACAGAGATGCTGCAGCAGTCAGGTGTGCATGCAGACACCCACCCAGGTAGGCTGGTAGGGAGGTCTCCACATGCTCGGAACGTGGAAAAAGGCAGAGCTTGGAAAGAGCAGCCAGAACAGATGGCTTTTATCACCAGTTGTGCTGGGTATACAGGGGTACTGCAAATGGAGCCAAGAAATTTTTCCCACCATTTTTCTTCATCCTTTGCTAAGACTGAAGGTTTGATCTTTATCAAGAAGTGTTTGCTCTAGCAGCACACAGATTTCAGGCTATTGGAAGATTACAGTGTTTCTGGCAGAAAATAAGATGGTTAAAGTCGACACGAACATTTCCTATATATCAACTGGGTTTGCAATTCTTTTTAAAATCAAGTGCAGTTCCTTTTGTGATCACTAAGTGGTGTCAGCTACAAGGACAGCGTCTGCAAGCTCGTGGGAAGTTCTATTAAACTGTTGTTTTAAAATTGTAGCAGAACTAAGAGGAGGACATCATCAAAGACTGTAATGAATCTTTTCAGAGGTCATTTGCACCCTGCTAAGAGACTCTGCTGCAAAAGGACATGCAGCAAATCTTCAATGGGTTGTGGGTTTTGGGGGGTTTTCTTTTCAGTTTTGAAAGTTCTGAGAGGCTGACAATCAGGAATTAAATATTTGCTTGTGACTCTCCATTTCAAGGCTGGCAGTTTACTGTCTGACTTGTTCCTGAGTCTTGGTCCAGAGTCTGTTGGAGCTGCTTAATAGCTGTAAAAGGTCTGGCAAACCCCACAAGAACCATTTTTACATTGATTTCACATTTTGATCAGGCCAGAATGCCCTTCCAGAAATTTTGCATGAAAATGCAACTATGAAAATAAGGAAAGGAAAACAAGATACCTCAAATGAAAAAGACAATAGTATGAAGCAATTGCAGTTTTGAAGACTGATAGGAATCAATTATTGAACCTACTCAAAAGCACATCCAAAATGTTTCTTTAGAGGCATATTGATACCTGAGCTGTTTCTATGTTCAGACTAATTACCTCTTGGGAAGAGAAAAGGAACTGTAAATGTGTAAGCACGTCTGAGAATTTTTTGTGTAAAGTTATGACTTGGACCCACTGGCTTCCCCCAAACTATTTGCATGATTCAAGGCTGATCTGTGCAGCCATTCGACTGAAAGAAAACATTTTAATTGCAATCGTAGTCATTTGGAGTAGTGAGAACTTGCAAAAGTGTAAGCCACCTCATCAGGAAGCAGAAATATGAAACACAGTTTACCAGTAGAAGTTTGATTAGCAAATGAGGTGTCACTGGCTGGCTGCCCCACTATGTGGTGTGTGAGCCACCCATGGGCTGAGGGTTTGGCTGGTTTCGGCAATATGATCACAACCCACAGAAAAAAGGGAAACACAGGAGTAACAATGACAAAGCAAAAATGCACAAAAACAATGGCTCAAACCAGCTGTGTCACCTATTTTAATGTCATCTCAAGTGAAGGTGGAGAGGAAGGCGTGTGCTTGCGGGACAGCAGCCCTGTCTTTCCTAGGGACAGGCCTGGGGAGGGATCATGGACCTCTGGAGATGGGGGCAACCTCAATGGAAGGAAGGGGAGACCAAAGCTCTGCTTTTTCTCTGAGGCAACATATGACCTAGGTCCTGGGTCTGGCCCTTGGCTTGCTCTGGTCTCCTTAACTTAGAAAAAGAGTTGTGTTACAGCAGCATCAGCAACTCCTGGGTGTCCACTGACTTACACAAAGGGTGCAGACCTCTAACTGGGTCCTCTGAGTTGGGGACATTTGCACTACTGATTGCAGCATGACTGGTGACCCGAACTCCTTTCCTAGAGCTCAGGTCAGGACCAGGGTGGCCTTCCATCCTGCAACTCACAGGCACTGCTCAGCTGGCTTAGAAATCTGTGTTTGCATTTAGGCACTTGTGAAAACCCAACCTTATGGAAGAGGTGCTTGTGAAAAACCCATTCCCCCTGGCTGTCTAGCAGCTCAACCGGGAAATTGCCAGTTTCTGACTCTGACGTTTGTTGTCATGTCCCCCAAAAATTTTGTTATTCAGCTGATTGTCAGAGGGGTAGGAAGTTTTTATGAGGTCCCTCTTACTGTAGTTGAAGGGTGTGGGAATGTCCCTAGAGTAAGAGTGCAGTGAATAAAAAGGGGAAGTCACACTCGAGGCATCAGTCGCTCTTTCGTCCCGCTGAGCGTACAGCTGAGATGATGATGGTCGCTTGCCTGCTCCTCTCCAGCATCTGGACCATTACATCAGGTAACTCCTTCTGTCTCTCTATGTGTCTGTGTCATTACTGTAATGGCCTTAGGGACCTCGGTGGCCCTGCCAGCCTTTTGCACTGCTGGATGCTACAGTCCTCATCTCTCACCCCCCTGGGGCAAGTCCCTAGGTGACACAGCAATTGTGGCACTGCACACGACTGCAGTGCTCAGTCTGCAATGCCTGGAGCTTCAGGCATGTCACTGCTGGTTCTGTTGACAGCATCTGCTGCTTGATTTACCACCAGTGCATTTATAAGCTCCGGAGAGATGTACATATTTATTGCAACCACCCAAACATTGCTTGTAGGTATCTGCTTAGGCCACCAAAAGTATGTGTGTGTGTTACGCTGGTTTTGTATTTAAAAATCATATATAAAAGGCTGACTTAGTTTCAAACTAGCTTTCATGATCATGATTTGTATTCTGCCTATGGCACAGCAAAATGACTGGTACAGCTTCACAGCTGGGTTCTTGCTCTCTGGTGGAGATCTGCCTGGCCATGCAGCGAAAACCTGAGAGCACTTTGTTGGGTGGGTTAGCCAAGTGTACCTCTGGGCACTGCAGACAGCCTCACTCCTCTTTAAAGCCTGCAAAGATATTTAGTGTTCTTATACATTGAATTATATGTCTTCAGTGATGCACCTGTCCTTGCTGATATCTTCCTCTCCCTGCTGATGTACACAAATAAACTTTGAAAACTATTACCCTAAGAGGACTGCAGAGCTGAGCTGTCAGCCTGGAAGCATCCCTTTTCCTTAACAGTTTTTTCACAGGTCTATAAATTGGAAGAGGAGATTGTTTTTTCTTTTCCCTGGAGACCTTTAATACCATGGCATTTATGCTGTGGAAGTTTTCTATCTGTGGACCTTCAGCAAGGTCTCTTCAGCAGCTGCTTCCCAGCTGCATGGCCTCAAGCCTGAGATAGCAGGACAAATACAGTTTGCTTCTGATCTCCCTACTTTGCTGTTTCCTTCTTGTTTTCTGTTCTCTTGCCAGTCTCTGACAAGTGTGAATGCATGGTGTAAAGTGAGACACATAATTTTTAGCAGTTTTACAGATTTCCTTCACTCTGCACCGCAGAAGGGCTAAGAGAGAGGTAATGGCCTGATGTCTGTTTGGTCACTAGCACAACTGAAACTTTAGGGAACCTCTCCGTGGGTGCCCATGGCATAGCAGTCCTAACAGACAGAAATCAGTGGCTCCCAGCACCAGAGCTGCCTTTCTCAGGGGTGCTCTCTGCAGCACAGGTATCAGGCTGGTGAGATGCCTGGTGTGAGAGGTGGCAGGTCCAGTGAAACTCTTGGAGTAGTTCTTTAAAACTGCATTTTAATTTTTTCCCTGGATGGAGGGGCAGAGAAATCCTCTGGAGTTGCTCTGGTTGGAAGTGAGGGTGAAGGGCTATGGGGGCCTCTGCTGGGAGTGGGCTGCAGACGAGTGTGAGAAATGCTGAGTGTGGCACCTGCTTCTCTCACAGCCTCTGTGCAGGTGATGAACAGAAGAGTCCAGTCGGTCCAGGCGGGAGGAAACGTTACTTTTTCATGCCAGTCAGTCACAAAAGAAGATGTGATACAGGTGACCTGGCAGAAGGAGACGGATGGGCCTGAAGACAACATAGCGACTTACAGTACAATGAACGGCCAGAAGATAGCCAAGGGCTATGTCAGCCACGTGAGCTTCGCCCACAGCGAGTTACAAGCCTCAGCCATCTCCCTCCATGGAGTCACCCTCCAAGACGAAGGATGCTACAAATGCATCTTCAACACGTTTCCCTCGGGGGCTGTCACTGGCAGGATGTGTCTCAAGGTTTACGGTAAGGCATTGTAATTGTGTACAGACTTTCTTCTGAGGACCAAGTAATTTTTCCCGTGAAAAACCTTCCCCGACATTGCTACATTGCTATGGGAAAAGTGGCTCAGCTTCCTCTCTGGCTCTCTCTCCCTCTCTGGTTTTACCTCTGACTGGAAACCAGTGTCCAACATTTATTTAATTTTCTTCCCCTTCAAGTCAGCAACAGTGAGATTCAAAAGCTGATGTGCAACCCATGAACTTCCTCCAAGTTTCCCTAGTCCTGTGGTGACAGCTGGCTGGCCACAGCCATGAACCCTGCACTCCTCTGCTTAACTTCACTGCTGCTCTCACATCCCAAGCCTGGAACTCAGGCAATTGTTTCCTTGGTCTTAAAAAAATCGCAAAGTATTCAAAAGGCAAAGAAGCACATGCATGACCAGACTATCTGAAAGATGATTTTGAAGCAATAGTAAAAATTACAGTAGTTGTGCTGGGGTCAGGAAAAGGGCTCGTGAGATTTGCCACATGAATCTTGTGCAAGTCAGCATTAACTACCTTAAAGAAGATAGTTGAAACAAATCACGAGTCGAGGTGGCAATATTTGTCACCTTCATACCTGATCATCAACTAGCAAGTACAAGCTGAAATAAAGATAAATAGATGAACTCAACTGAAACAAGTGAAAAGCTGCTTATCTTTTGAGGAAGGCTGCAGCTTTGCTGCCTGTGAGAAAGCTGAGACATTAAACGTGCTCTGAGGCCAACCTGTTGGCTCCTGACTTCCTCATGGAATGCTCTGCTGTGAGGACATTGGCCAAAGATCATGTCCCATGTGGAGAATATCTGTGTCTGTGACCTGTCGCTGGTGATATGACCTCTGCAGAGTATTTTGCTTATCCCTAGTACCTTCAGCTGACAAAGACACAGATCCATGTGTCCACACACATGTCTGGAGTCCTCTGTGTGGAGAAAAGACGCTCCTCGATTATAGGGGAAAGGTGGAGGGAAATACAGGGGAAAATCAAGTCTGGAACAAAAGTGCTTTTTCCCTTCTTTTGGGAAAACTCCTAGACCAGAAAAGACAAATGACAACAAATTCATACAATATTTCATACATGGAGAGGAAGGTGTTTCTTAAAGACACCCAGCTCTGAGTCACTTGGAGGGTAAACACTGGCTATACATTACAGGAAAAACATGGAAGTGCCATGCAGCGGGATCCCATTCTTCTTTATCATGTAAATTGAAAACAAAGTTAGATTTCTTTTGTTTCTGTTTTTGTTTTTTGGTTTTTTTTTTTTAATCCAAGTGGGGGAATTTCTTACCAAAACCACCAGCCTTGTGGCTCTGGTTCATCCTTCACCAGAGTACTACTTCTAAAAAAAGAAGTTGTTTTTCTGCTGCCACACACCCACTCATGCAAGTGTCTTTTCCTGCATCTCAGATGAAAATGTATCAACTGAGAAGGGTTTCAGTTCTCTCATGGCCTTGTGGGCCACTGCCAGGGGCTGCCTCATGGGGATCATGGTGGCCTTCCTGGAACGTGCTGCATCAAACTTGTCCCTGGGGAGGTCAGCACGAACAATCTGAGTATTTGGCACTGTGACAGAAGATTTTGGTTCATATATGGTATCTTTCGTTGAAGCTAATGCATGTGATGCTACTGAAAAGCTATGGTCTTGCTCCCTTATCCCCTTACTCATAATGATGGAAACAACTTGTCTGAACAAGTCCAGAGGGTGCCCCATGATGGAGTGTGAAGCCAGCAGGAATCTCCCAAGGCTCAGGGGCACAGGGCAAAGTAAGCAAGCCAGAGTCACCAGCTGAAAATGAAACGCTGCCATGTCTTCGCCCTCAAGAGGGGACTGCCAGGGGGTTTACAAGCTGGTAATTGCCCTATTACACAGCCCTCACAAGAGAGGCTGTTCCGGGACGGGCACCATCGCTGTGTGGTAAGGGGAAGTGAAACCCTGTAAGAACTGGATATAACACTGTGAAAAAAGAAACAGGTATGACTAGAGGGATCTCAGACTTGCCTGTTGGGAACAGCAAACCCAGGAAGAAGCAGAAATTTCTTGACCCTTTAGCATAATCCATTTTGGAATAGAACAGTTTCAATCATGCTTGACTGGTCTCTTTTGAACAGTCTGTTCCCCTTCCCCTTCCACTTTACTTTGGAAATGTTTTGTCAACCTTCATTGCCAAAGAGTATTAGAATGAAATCCAGGAAGAGGATTGAGGGAGCAGGTGTGGAGAAAGAGGAATGTGACACACGAGAATGGGCAAGACTTGCTGGGTCAGAAAAATCCCTGGGCATTTGCTGGGCCATCTTCAGAGACTTGCCTTTATCATAGACACCACCATTTGCCTGGAAGTCTTGAGCATACTGGAGAAATGCCATCACTCTTTCTTAGACAGGGAAACTGAGGCACGGGGCTGCTGGTGAACACCCATAGGGTTGGAAAAGGCTTGATGTCATCATGAGGCATACTATAATGCCTATAATGTCTCCATGACACCACTGTCAAGAGTTTTTAAACATAAAAAGCAAATCATGACCTGATAGTCTCCCTCTAATTACAGAAGCCATTACAGATAATCAAAGTGATGTACCTCATCAGAAACTCCCTTTTTCAAATATTTGGGAATGCTGACAGAGCTCGAACTTGGGAACATCTGCATTACTTCTCTTCAAGAGCAACTAAAGCAAGCACTTGCACACAACCTTTTTGCAAAGACTTTTTCACTGGAAACAAATATTTTAATGAAAGGCAAAAGAAGCAGTTAATTTAAGTGTGTGTATCAAACACCAACAGCGGGCACACAGTAGCAAACAGCATAGCGGGACTTTAACGCAAAAGCAAGCACTTACAGGTTTTGAGAGTGCATCTATTACAGACATTTGCTAGCGAGAAATTTGGCCCTGCAGGAAAATGCTTTGGGGTCCAACATGAGAAGAAAGAAAACTGCTTAGTCTGGAGAAGAGCAGGCATGGAGTGCGCGTGTTTCTGGCAAGATACTAAGCAATTTTGCTCATCCTCTATGGAAACATCTGTGACTACTCTCTTTGACTGCTTTTGAATTTTGCAACCTAATGTTTGAATGCCGTGCTAATGCTGGGGGTGGATATGTTATTTTTATGCATCCCATGAGTGAAAGAAGAAGTTCAGAGATCGTTTATTAGTTGAAACATAAACTGTTTGTGACACTAGTCTTTTCATACATAGGAGATTTTGAGAAGTTCCAGCTGAAATCCCCCTACACACTTTCCTTGTTGCTCTCAGAGGTTTCAGCAGCCCTGTGGGGTTTGAGTTTCTGTCTATTGGTCATACAAAAAATGAGAAATACACACTTATTTTTCCTAGGCAGCCGCAACCATAGTAAATGAATGAGCTCGGGCTTTATTTAGTCCTGTGATCCACAACTCTACACACCTCAAACAGCAGTAAAGCTAATCCTGCAGGTAAGTTTAAGGGAAAAGAACAAGAATTTTAACTCATTCAAGCAGATCAGCTCTTCCAGAGAGAGGAAGACGTATAGTTTCATAGTTTCACTACCCACTGATTTTAACCTATCCATAATCACCAATTCTCAGCTGGGATGCTGCAGTGCAGCTGTTAATAACAATGGAAACACAGATGTTTCTGCCCCTTGCCCTTTATTTTTGTCTAGCTCTTCACTTCTACACTGCTGCCTGATCACTTTCATGTTTATTTGTCACTGCTGGGGCTTTGGGGGGGGGGGAAGTAAGATGAGATACCAAGCTTGTCCTCCAAGATAATTGTAAATACAGATGCTCTTTGCTCAAATGTGGGCAGAAACTAACGCATTTTGTCATTTTGTCGTTTACAGCCATCTTGGACCCCAAAGTGGAAGCTAAACTTATACCCAATCCAGATAAAGCTGAGGACTCTGAGAAAGTGGTGGGGATAAGCTGCTCAGCAACAGGGAAACCAGCTCCAAAAATAACCTGGCACCTTCCCAGCATCCTGCAGCAGAAGCCAAGGGAATATCACATCAAGTTCAGCAACCAGACCGTGACTGTCATCAGCAATTTCACCCACACTCCTTCCAAAATCCTCCATAAGTACCCCATCGCCTGTGTGATCCAACACCCTTCTCTAAATGTGACCCTGGTCCTGCCCACGGACAGCCTGGAGCAAGGTAAGTGTGTAACTCTGCTCCTGCTCTGAAGTGGGGTGGAGAAACACTCCCTGGGATAGACCACAAAACTACTCAGAGGGTTGGGGACAGGTGGGGAAGGCATCCTGAAGAGCAGCCAGGACTGGGCTTGGGAGTGATGGAGGAGGTGCCTGGGAACATCCAGATGCCCTGGGCTATGGCATACAATGTCTTACTCCTCCCTAGGTCCCCCTATATGCCATGATGTGCCCCAGGCTCCCTTCCTCTGTGACAGGTTTCCCTCTCACATAGCCTGACACACCAAGACGTGCCAGTGTTGGGTAGCTTGGAGGGCTGGGTTCCTCACACCTGATCATGACATCAGACCCCGAGCACAGGTCTGCTGGCACTTCTGCTTGTGTGTGTGTCATGATGGCATGTGGTCCCACTGCCCCTATTCACCCCATCTCACCCCAGGGAGTAGCCAAGAGATGTTTGAAATGGGGTTTGGGCTGGTTTTCTACTTTTTTTTACTGAGTACCTGCTGCCTTCCCCACAGGTCCGGACAGCACCGTGGCACCCACTACTGCCATTGCAGTGGGAGTACTGGTCCCCTTGACTTCCCTCCTCCTTCTCACCTGTCTCCTCTGCCACTGCCTCAGGCACTCACGTGACCCAGAGAGAAACCCAGCCTGGCCATGCTGGGTAGGTCTACCTTTCCCCAGGGTGCAGCAGGGCTCAACCCCACCGTCACAGGGCTCAGTACCATGATCGAGCTCTGCCCAGCCATACCAGGGCTGCCTACACACTGCTCAGCCCAGGCTGCTCCTGGGCTGGAGAGGGACACAGGGAGCAGCCCCCAGCCAGAGAGCTGGGCAGCAGCACACTGGGAAGGAGAAACCTGATTCTGCGTAGCCAGGCCATATGCACCTGACAGCACTGGCAGCTAGAAAATACTCACTGTGTCAATGACAAGGCACGCTGTGGCAGAAGAGTCACTCTACTACTATATTTATGCACAAAATAGTCGTGCAAGCAGTGGCCAGACCCTTGGGCCATTCTTCTGCAGCTCCTAAAATAACCTCCCTCAGCGCTCCTAGCGCAGCTCACAAAGGCAGCAGCTTTGAGGATGTGTCTCAAACAAAACGGGGTCTTAGAGGAAAACTGTGCCTCTGTGAGGAAAGCCCAGGGTGCCATGCTGTGGTAGGGGCTGAGGCACTGCTGGTTGTCCACTGAGGCCATCCTGATGATGACGGGTGCAAGCCTGAGGTGAGGGGTCCACTGAGTGAGGTGGCATCGTTTCAGAAAATCACAGCCCGGTTTTGAGAAGGTTCCTCCTCTTCCCTGCAGGATATGCCTAGCCTGTACACCCTGACTTTTGATAAGCATTTTGGACAAAAAGAAGCAGTGGAGGAAATACAATACATGTCTTCCATGGGCATTATGCCCATAGGTCCAAGCTAAAGACTGCTGGTGGGATTGCAAGGGGAAAACTTGAGGCTCCCCTCACACAGAGAGATGCAAGGACCCATTTGACAATACATATAGCCAGGATCTTTGCCCTTGTACTTCAAACATCCATGCATTTTTAAGAAATAAACAAAACAACCTCTCTTCCATCAGGTACTTCCTGCCTGTAGCAAGGCCAAGAAGTGCAGGCAGTATGGAGCTGCAGGCAGGTGGGATCCTGTGGTGTCCCCCAGCCCCAGTGCACCACTGAACACCTGAGAAACTACCCACACTACACATGCAAGAGGGAAACTCTTACAATGGCACCTCAAGCTTCCAGGCAAACCTGCTGTGACTCTTTCCAAGAGTAATACAGAAAAGGACAATTTATAATAGATATTTATTTATTTTGTTACACTATAATATTCCGTTTTGTAGGAAAAAAGATGTAAAGTATTTATTTGAGATTCAGGCTGGATGTGTGGATCCACTTAATTAAACTTGTTCTTCATATTTTCTGGGAGTTTGAACATTACATTTATTCCTTTTTGATATTTTGATATTTTAACATTGCAAGCTCAAAAGGAGGTGGGGGAATTGTCTGAAAGAGGGCAGCATTTTGTAGGGCTTTTGGCCTGGGAAGTGCTGCTGATGGGCCAGAGGAGACCTCTGCAAGGAGCTGGGCTGCAGAAAACCCGTGGAGCAGCCCAGCACACTGCTGTGAGCTTCAAGTGTTGAACTTGTTCCCCAAAGGGCACAAGAGATCAGGCCAAGACTGCAGCCAGCCTGAACTTGCAACCCAGCCGCCAGGAGCAACAGGCTTTAAGCCAAGAGTCATCAGGCACGTGGAAGTGCCAACTCTGACTTCCACCAGCCTTTCCTGGAAAGTAAAGCAAAAGCAAAAGGCACAGATGTGTTTTCTTCTCCCCTCTTCTTCAGTGGTTTCCACAGCCCCCTTCGTAATTTCCCTGATCCATCACAGCTGCCTTGTGTTTCCGGGCAGCCCACCCACCTGCAGGAAGAAGCAGGGCAATAAAAGAGCAGTTGGAGGGGTAGTAGGGCTGCTTGGTGTGGTTTGTTTTTGTTCTGGTGTAGCAGCGAGTGCAGGGGGATGCAGGTGGCTGCTAGGCATAAGGAGGTGAGTGCTGCATATGGGCAGATATACATAATGACAGGGCAGCAAGTGTTATCTGTGGTGAAAATTCTTTGCTTATAGCCTGTAGGTCAGCTCTGAGCTGTAATCTCCTGTAATTCTCTGAGTTGCACTATATGCTCATGAAACCTCATAGACCCAGGGAAGGAGAAATGAGACCACCTGGCTGATGTTGGGCTTGTGGGGACCATGAAGACTGCAAGTGCAGGATTTTTCCTCTCTTTCTGGCTTCCTGGAGCAAGTGCATGTCATCTGGTTTTTCCTCATCCATCTATTTCAAATGGGCATCCCAGATGAATCAGACTGAGTTGTAGTCGAAAAGCAAGTAACCTAAAATGAAACCAAGTGGGTGAGTTGAGAATGAATAAATCTGGTCCTTGCCATAAAATGCTTTTTTAGGCTCCCTAACACTTAGTAATAGAGAAGCTGGTGACTGAGAGGAAAGGGGAACTGGCTGCAGCTGTCACAATTGAGATTTTTTCTCCTCAGCTCCCTAATTTTCAAAGGAGGAAGCAATGTTTTTTCCAAATTTTTCCATCATTGCAGCTTTATTTCTTCCTCTGTGAGGGATGAGGCCAGGGGAGAAGCAGGTTTTACCCCTGGGTTCCTGGAGAACAGGAAGGGGGTGAGAGCCCCTGGCACCCCGCCTGAGCAGGCTGTGCAGCTTCAGCCTGCATTCTGCACAGTCTGCACTTGCAATTTAGAGAGGCTTACTTGAGTTTGAACATAGGGTTTCTGCTACTGTTTAGACTAAGAGGTCCTTAAAAGAAAAGAAAAAAGAGAGAAAGGATTCTCTCAGAGAAACAGGGAGTCTGGACAAAGGTAATTAAAACAAATTTCTGAGGGAAGAAAGAAAGGAACAAAGTTGCAAAGAAACCTTTTCAAACCCAGGAAGACAGCATAGATTACCTACTATTCTTTTCTACAAGCTGATCACCTGGAGTGGGGGAAAGGAGGGTTTGGAGTCATGAAAGTATCTGTTTATCTGTGGGATTGCAATTTCTTTTGCTTTTTAGCTGAATGCTAAATTGTGAGAAGCTTTTGTGGCATGATAGGTCCAGAGACTGAGCAAAAGAGAGGGATGAGGCAGTTTACCCATAAGCAAAATTCTGTACGAGATTTATTTTTCTTTCACAGTACTGGACTGAGAACAGCAAATGACATCCAAAGGCAGAACACTTAAAACCAATACATGTATTTACCTTCATGCTATACAAAGCCACCTGCTAAGATGCAGTGCCATAAAATGCTCTATGCTAGTGCAGTGGAGTTTGGCTTCACATAGCAACAAATTGAATGCAAGCATACAGATTATGGATAATTAACTAGCTCTTAGCTGCTGGGGGTGGGGGGGGAAGAGTATGAAATAAAGAGGAACAAGCACGTGACTGAGGAGATCAGAAGGAGTTTGTCTCTTTTGGGACTGGACAGTTGTTGGTCTCACCTAACTCTGCCTTTGGCCACCTCTTGTCACTGCCACTTGTCCAGGGCAACAGTGGTGTCGACGCAGGGCATAATTTCTCCTAACAGATGGAAAGAAGGCAAGTGAGAACTTCACCCTCCTGCTTGCCTCTTACATGGGTAAAATTGGCTCTGGGTAATGTGTTTCTCTTCATAAAGCAAATTTAGCCTGCACCTCTCAGCTCTGGGATCCTTTGATCTTGACATTAACTAGTTTGGGTTAAGGTTTTAACTCATGTAAGGAGTGTCCTTTTTAACTGATGGTATACTATATCTATCTATATATATATGTTGACATATAATGAAGGGTCCTCAGGCTGTATAATATGCCCATGTTCCTGTTTTGGCATGTCAGGCTATTTCAAAAATGTATTGTGTTGGTATTTTTCTCTGCCCAGGTACTGGGTTCCTGGTTCTAAGAGAGCAGTAAGGTGTAAATGAATTGCCCCAACAGCTCTGGCTGAAGATGTGACTTTGAAATGTAGCTGAAATGCTGGCCTTAGATATTTTACAAGTCATGGTTGAAATAGGAGGAATATTCTTCTTCTGAAACCACTACTCACAGTGGGCTGAGACTAAATTCATACAGTGAAAAGGAACTTTGTTTTGGGACTAAATTCATGTAGTGAAAACAAACCTTATTTTGATGATAGAAGCTTGAAAGCATCATTCATCAATTCTCTATTGCATGACCCTAGGGGAATGATTCATCTAAATACCACACCAGTAAATTTTCCTATGAACTCATAAATGGAAGAAAATATGACCTATTGTTTTTCATTCAGTTTTCAACACTTGAGCCCTGGAAATAGCTGAAATAAGAGAATTGCACTAATTGCGTACATTTTTCTCTTTCATAAATAAGACTATCAAACCAGGCAGACACAAATTAAGTATATTTTTGTTTTCACTCTCAGTATACCAGTAATTACTCACATTTTGGAAGCCATACAAAGGGCTTTTTCATATCTCTGCTTCTTTCATCTTTGCACATATAAAGCTGTGTGTGAAAGGAGCGCTGAACTCTTGTCCAAGTGTTTGTGGACAAGAGTTTGGTTTGTGGACTCTGTCGTAGTCTGCTCATCTTTGAAAAAAGCTACCTGAAATTTCTGGGAAGACTGAGGGAATCCTCAGCCTAAAACCCATACACAATATAAACAGAGTCCTGAGTTCTCTACCTTGTCAGAAGCTGTGGTCTTTAACCACCCTAAAGAAAAAGGAGGAAAAGGAAGCTTTTCTAGTAAAACAGCACTTGAAATTATACATGAAGGACTAAGATGCAATGAAAAGTTAGCAGAAAAAAAAACGCGAAACTTTTAGTCAAAAAAAGTTAATTTTTTTTCAATCAGCATATTTTATTTGATATTTTCACTCAAATAAATTACAGAAAATCCAGTGTTTCATCATAAACACCCAGGCTTACACTTTAGATTTAAAGAAATCAGTCTGCCCTGAACCTTCCTTGTCTACAGGAATGTAGCTATTTTCATAAGTGACATTGTGGTGGATTTCAGTAACAAGAAATATCATTGTTTGCTGCAGGTTTTTCTCTAAATACCAGAACCTATACACAAAGAGGAGAAAAGGGGGAATGAAAATCTTTGCATACCTATTTTAGAATGGTTTCATTTTAAGGGTATTAAATGTAAGCTGTCTACTTTCTAGGATTTATCAGTAGAAACAAGGTGTCAGTTCTCTATTCAATACTTCAGTATTTATGTATTTAAATTCAACATTTCTTTCTGAAAATCTGCATTATAACAATTTCTGACCACATCAAGACAATCAGAAAACATTCCTTGGAGTCTAGCTCAAGGCTGCATAGGGAAACCAAGACTTTGCTGCATCACCAAGAGAAAGTGCTGAGCTCCCTGCAGGCTCCTCTGGGGTGGAAACCTTCTGACTGGGATGCAAAACAAAAGCAGGTGAAATCCTGGGTCACAGGTAATAACATCCCAAACTGAAGGGGTGTGATGTACCAGGCTCTCCAGTAGGCTCTGGCCCAGCAGAAGGATCTTGTGGTCATTGTGTAGTTTTAACTCCTCTGCTCTCAGATTTGTGGCTCTGTATCATTCTGCCATGGAACTGGCAGACATGGGTTGGGAGGCCAGCTTGGAAAAACTGAAGCCAGAGGCCACCAGTCATCAGTAGGGGAACAGATGTTTTTCCCTGTCAGGTGAGTGAGAAGGTCTGGGACCCTCTATTTGATTCTCTACAGCTTCCTTCATTCCCTTCTCACATTTATTCCTCCTTTGCTCTTCTTCTTGTCCATAGGATCCAGACCTGATGAACTATCAATCAGTGCAATACCTCTGCCACAAACAACAAGTTTCTCCTTTGCTTTGCTGTTGCTTTGACCCAGCCACCTCATTTGTCTCTCCTGGGTGGTTCAAGGTTGTTT